GAACTCATATACATTTAAGAGAAAGACTGGAAGATGCAGACATCTCCCAGAAAGCAAAATAGAAAACAAAACAAAAACACAAAAACTTTAAAAAATCAAGGCTCTTGAGAATTCACTGGTGGTCCAGTGGTTAGGTCTCAGCACTTCCACTGCCAGGGCCTAGGTTCAATCCCTGGCCACAGAACTAAGATCCTACAAGCCGTATGGCACAATCAAAAATCATATAAATAAAGGCCCTATTCAAGGCTTCCAATCTCTGATTAATTAGAACTCTAAGGAATTCCCTGGTAGTCCAGTGGTTAGGAATCCACACTTTCACTGCAGCGGGGTACTAGTTCAACCCCTGGTCAGGGAACTAAAGACCTCATGAACTGCAGCACGCCAGGCTCCCCTGTCCTTCACCATCTCCGAAACTTGCTCAAACTCATGTCCATTGAGTCGGCGATGCCATCCGACCATCTCATGCTCTGTAGTCCCCTTCTCCTCCTGTCTTCAATCTTTTCCCAGCATCGGGGTCTTTTCTAATGAGTCAGCTCTTTGCATCAGGTGGCCAAAGTATTGGAGCTTCAGCATCAGTCTTTCCAAATATTCAAGACTGACTTCCTTTAGGATTGACTGGTTTGATGTCTCTTAACATACCATATAGTAACTCTTTATCATTTACTGACTGAATGAATTAAGTCTCTGAATTACCAAAATCACCTCCTGGAGCACTCTGGGTTTTCTTTAGAGGCCTTAGTACCTCAGTAGGAGAGACACATCACATTTCCATAAAAGGGCAAGAGAATGCTGATGGAAAAACTTTAATTTTCAATGGGCTGACCGGAGAACAGTACCAAGTGATAAAAATACAATAACTACAGTTTTTAGGTTTCTTTTGATCTATTAGGAATATTATAATAAACCTGTAATAAAATATATACTACAATAAACCTATAATAAAATCAACTGTCTAAAAAACCAGTTTTTTACCGTATGACCCAGCAATCCCACTCCTGGATTAATTATCCTAAAGAAATTAACACTTATGCTCACATAAAGACCTGTACAGGGACTCCTTTGGTGGGCCAGTGGTTAAGACTCCACCACATTCCCAATGCAGGGTGCAGACTCAATCCCTAGTGGGGAACTAAGATCCCTTATGCCACATGGTATGCCACCGCCCCCCCGCCAGGCCAAAAAAAGTGGAATGAAATAAAAATTCATCCAATAGAGTAAATGGTGAGAAGATCAATGAAACTCTTAAGAAATAAGAATAATCAGCAGGGGACTTTAACCTACTCCAACAAATCAATCAAAAGCTGCAGTAATAAAAACACCATGACTGGGTATAAAGCTAAATGAATTAAATCAGAGAAGCAGAAGGGAATTTAACAATCGGGGGAAAGAACTGATGACCCTGGGAAAGCAGTAAGGCACATAAATAGGGGAGAAAAAGTTAAGACTCTAAACCTTACACTAATCCTCCAAAATACACAGCAAGTCAACTAAACATTCAAACACCAGTCACAGCAGAATTTAAAGAGAAAAACAGAATGTTTACAATCTGGGAAAAAAGTAAACTGTTCTCACCAAGACATGAAACCCAGACAGATCAGACCAATGTCTAAAAACACATAAAAGGTTTACATCACTAAGATTAAAAGAGAAAAGAAACACAGATAAAGTATATACAACAGGAAGCTTGTTTTAAAAAGAAAATGTAAATGACACCAAGATATGAAAATATCATCAATCTAAGTAGCTATCATGAGAAAGCAATCTTTTTTAAAAAATATCATTTTTTTGTTTATCTGATAGACAAAAATTATCTATAGTGTTAGCAAGGGTGTAGAAAAATAGGCACTCTCATTCATTTTGGTAGGCTAATAAAACAGTACGACATTCTCTCAAAACCAATTCGGCAGTACCTAACTAATTCGGCAGTACCTATTACAGTATTAAAATGCAGAAGCATCACTCTACTAAGCAGAGGTCCGCACAGTTAAAGCTCTGGCTCCCCACGGACGCACAGATGTGGGAGCTGGGCCATAGCAGCTGTGCGCCAGAGAACTGACGCCTCTGGCCTACGGGCTGGAGAAGACTTGAGAGCCCCTTGGACTTCGAGGAGACAAATCACTCACTCCTGAAGGAAACCAACCCTGAATATTCATTGGAAGGACTGATGGTGATGGTGAAGCTCCAATACTTTGGCCACTTGATGCCAAGAGCTGACTCACTGGAAAAGACCCTGATGCTGGCAAAGACTGACGACAAAAGGAGAAGGAGGTGGCAGAGGATGAGACGGTTAGACAGCATCACTAATTCAATGGACATGAACTTGAGCAAACTGTGAGTCAGTAGAGGACAGAGAAGCCTGGTGTGCTGCAGTCCATGGGGTTGCAAAGAGTCAGACACGGCTTAGCGCCTGAACAGCAACAAACTACAGTCTCACATTCCCTCTGATCCACGATTTCCAGACATCCAGGAATTTATCCTACAGAAACACTCTTAATAAAGGACAGAAGGTTATGTTTAAGGACATTTAGTGCAGATGTTTATAATAGCAAAAAAATCAGAAACCACTCAATGCCCATCAATACAGGTAAACTATGGTGCCAACACACACCAGAAGGCAACGTCCCATTAAACAGAGTATGTCAGATCTAGAAGCACTAAAATCCAGACGTGATCAAGACATGATCAACTACTTGCTAAGAAAAACTACCATTATGTCCTTTCTTGTTAAAACAAACAAAAAATTACTGTATATATAAAACTGTGGTAATGTATACCAAACTGCTGAAAGTGATCCTCTGAGAAGAGAGAAAGTTTCAGGAATTTTATTTTCTACATAATGAATTTCTATAACGTTTATATTTTACATGATTCTGGGTAAGACCTACAAAATGGGGGAAAAAAATAAAATCGATTTTTTCAGACCACAAAAAAGAAGTTTTAAGTTAGCCACTATCTAGTCAAAATTCAAGCATTTCTGCAGAGAACATACTAGATGTAAACATCGTAAGTCTCACTCCAGCACACATATGTTATGTTAAAGGTGAAAAGGTCTATCTGTCTCACTCCTCTTTTAACCCACCATCTCTATCTAAGGAAACTGGCCAAGTAACCACCTGAAACTGGTTGGGGTAAATAAACTCAGAGGTTCTGTTCCTTGTTTCAAAAAGTTTGGATCTAGGGCAGCAAAGAAAGCTCCACCAACTCATGCTATTTACTGATTCCAAAAGCAGTCCCGGCATCCCTATGGAGTCTTAACCAGGGAACTGTCACTAAAATTGAGATGAAACGTGAAGAGGCAAATTTTCAGTTACAGTCTTTACTTAAGACTCCCGTTAGAATAGACCAATGATGCACAAACTTCTTCAGGTCTCAGAACACAGAGGAAGTTATAATATTTGTAGGGCAAATTGTAGAAAACCCAGGGTGGGTCCCACTCCAGCAGGCCCTTGCACAGTGGACTGCAGGCCTCAGGACATCTTAACACTGCCTTGGCACACATATCAGGAGCCTCTGCTACATGGGAATCATTTCTTTACAGTTTCCTTCAAAAGTAACATTAAGTTCATTCAGTAAATATTTATTAAGTACAGGGGGAGAATGGATACATGGATATGTATGGCTGTGTCCCTTTGCTGTCCACCTGAAACTATCACAACACTACTTGTTAATCACCTATATACCAATACAAAATAAAGTTTTTTTAAAAAATGTATTAAGGCTTCCCTGGTGGCTCAGTGGTAAGGAATCCCTCTGTCAATGCAGGTGATGCAGGTTTGATCCCTGGTCTGGGAAGATTCCCTGGAGAAGGAAAAAGCAATCCACTCCAGGAAAATCCACTGCCTGGAAAACCCCATGGACAGAGGAGCCTGGGCATTACAGTCCATGGAGTCAAAAAAGAGTCAGACACAACTTATCGACTAAACAACGAGTACCTAATATGTGCCAAATATGGTTGTGCTGATGTCTTCCCTATAGATTAGAGCAGAAAGACAGATAAAAAGCAATTTGCAAATAAGCAATTTGCAATATAATTGTAATTATAATAGCAAAACATATTACTTACATAACTGTAATGGTAAATGCTATCTAGGGGAAAAGTATCATGAGTGCCATGCCCGGGGAAAGGGAGTCTGTCAATCACTACTTTCGCCAAGAAGTGACTCCAATACAAAAGGATGAAGTGTATTTTAGGCAAGAAACAACAGGTACAAAGATCCAATCCAAGAAACTATGTTAAAAAAAAACCCGAACAGGGACTTTCCTGGTGGTCCAGTGGTTAAGAATCCACTGCTCAATGCAGAGGTCACAAGTTTGATTGCTGGTTGGGAAACTAAGACCCCATGTGCCACAGAGCAACTCAACCTCTGCGCCACAACTGAAGAGCCTGCACGCCAGCAAACGGCCCACACGCCTCCACCAAGACCCAGTGCAGCCAGAACCCAGACACCAAAATAGCTCTGTGCTGCCCAAAGCCAATGTGAGGAGGGGCTTAATTCAGGAGCAGTTTTAATGGAAGTGTTTTTGATAAACATGGAATGTGGTTGAGCAGAAAGCAAATATAACAAAATTAGGAAAGCATGTGCATTTCTACATAATAATCTATCAAACATAAGCTATGAGATAAATGTTTGGGGAGATGAAGAAGCTTCTTGAGGATAAATTTATAAAAACAGTCAACACTTGATTTTTGCAAGTACCATGAGCTTGTAATGAAGTTAAACATTTTTACTGTGGTGGTAGACATTTACCACTGAAAAAGAATGCTACCTCTTTATAAAGGCAAAGATCATTCAAACACTCAATATGTAATCTTTACAACAGGTAAAGAAATGAGAAAGTAAAAGAACTCCCAGGATAATTAATATATAAGCTTCCTATTCTTAAAAAATGTTTAATTAGCTTACAGAAAGCCCAAATATATACACTGTGTCCCTCTTTCTCTCACATGGAAATAAACAGAAAAGTGTATTAACAGAAATCAAGCATAATTTGTTACTTACCTCTCTGCCTGTAAGGATGTGTCTTGCCAACTTCACTTTTGCAAAATTCCCCTTGCCGATAGTTTTCAACAGCCTGTAGTTTCCAATGTGAGGCTGTTCATCTGCACAGGAAGCTATAGAGTTTCTACACCGTGCTCCAGAGCGCCCAGAGCGAGAGGTAACTTCTTGCCGCCCATCTCCATGTGACGTGTGCTACAATAAAACAGACAACAAAGGGTAGGAAATTAGGAACCCACAGTAGTTGACAAGGTTTAAGAGTCTCTAGTTGAAGGAACAAAACATCACTGCTTTAATTTTAATCCCAATACATATGGCACTTTATGGGGACTTGCCCACGTGATACAAAGCAAAGAAGCGAAGTCGCTCGGTTGTGTCCGACTCTTTGCAACCCCACGGACTGCAGCCTCCCAGGCTCCTCGGTCCATGGGATTTTCCAGGCAAGAATACTGGAGTGGGTTGCCATTTCCTTCTCCAGGGGATCTTCCTGACCCAGGGATCTAACCCGGGTCTCCCGCATTGTAGGCAGACGCTTTACTGTCTTGAGCTACCAGGGAAGCCCCCACGTGATATAAACTCATGAGGAAAATAAAATGCTGAGAAGAGAAATACCAGTCTTGAGCTTCAACTGGGTGTTCAGATAGATGAGATTATTTTCTGTATGTGGCTATACCATAAAATAGGAGAAAGAAGACTGCCTTACAGTCATAAAGAACTTAACTTTCCCACATGCTATTAAATATACCAGCACATATTATACTTAACACACCTTATGATACAGGTAGAACAGGTAACATCACCATTCACCAGATGAGGATATCTTGAGATTATTTCACTACCAAATCACTAGTGAGAAATCCAAAGAGAATATGGATTCCCAACTTCTTTCTAAACTATGCTGCTAACAATGATTTTTAAGACAACGTGTGCCAGACTCTAAAGCCCTTGATAAACATTTGTTGAACAGATGAATACAGTAATCAACATACTCCAAAAATGTAAAACAAATCATAAACGCCTTTAACCACATTAAATAGAAAGGTGCTTGAGTTACAAACGCCTGATGAGGACAGCTCTGCATGCATAAGCAACCAGCTGCCTAGTACGTCCTCTCTCCCCACACACGCTCAAAGGCTGCCACACCTCACTGCCTACCTCTCATGACCACTAACTGCTTCCTCTCCCTCTCAGAACACTTTCAAGCACCTTCATTCCTTTCTCCTTTCTTTTTGTCCAGGAAAACGTCCCTTGTTTCTCATGTTCTCTCTCTACCTGTAGGTCAAAACAAGTCTGATTCTAGGTGATAAACATAAGAAACTACACTTGGTAACACATTCTTATCAAGGAAAAAAGGAAAACAAAAAACAACCCTATATTTTACAGTGAAAGCTTAAGAATTTGTGCCATCAACCTCTGAATTCCACAAAAGATATCCTTTTCAGAATGTCCACGTTAATTTTCATCTACATTTTTATATTCCCGTAAGTAAATCTCTGTCCCTTCTGTACCATGTTTTGAGGTAAGTTTTCTTCTATTTTAAGTTAAAAAGACTTTTACAAACTGGTTGCAAATCTAAACAACTTTATTCCTGTAGCAAAAAGATTCTAATTCTATTTATTTTTTATTCTAATTTTCAAATGAGAATTTTGGGAAAATAGCCCATTACAAACGAGGAATAGCAAGGAGAGATAAGACCTTCAATGCAAAGTAGTAGTGGAAAACAATGGAATGGGAAAGACTAGAGATCTCTTCGAGAAAACTGGACATATCAACGGGACATTTCATGCAAGGATGGCCACAACAAAGGACAGAATGGCAAGGACCTAACAGAAGCAGGAGTCTTAGAAGAGATGGCAAGAATACACAGAACTGTACAAAAAAGGTCTTAACGACCGGGATAACCATGATGGTGTGATCACTCACCTAGAGCCAGACATCTGGAGTGTGAAGTTAAATGGGTCTCAGGAAGCATCACTACAAACAAAGCTAGTGGAGGTGATGGAATTCTAGCTGAGCTACTGAAAGATCCTCAAAGATGATGCTGTTAAAGTGCTGCACTCAATATGTTGGCAAATGTGAAAAACCCAGCAGTGGCCACAGGACTGGAAAAGGTCAGTTTTCATTCCAATCCCAAAGAAGGGCAGTGCCAAAGAATGTACATTGTGTACAACTGCACTCATTTCACACGCTAGCAAGGTAATGCTCAAAACCCTTCAAGCTAGGCTTCAACAGTACGTAAACCGAGAACTTCCAGGTGTACAAGCTGGATTTAGAAAAGGCAGAGGAACCAGAGATCAAATGCCAGAATCTGCTGGATCACAGAAAAAGCAACAGAATCCCAGAAAAACACCTATTATGCTTCATTGACTAGGTTAAAGCTTCTGACTGTGTGGATCACAATAAACTGTGGAAAATTCTTAAAGAGCTGGGAATACTAGACTACCTTACCTGCCTCCTGAGAAAGCTATCTGTATGCAGATCAAAAAGGAACAGCTATTTAAAACCTTACAGGGAACAAATGACTGGTTCAAAATTGGGAAAGGAATACGACAAGGAGTACGTCAAGGCTATATACTGTCACCCTGCTTATTTAACTTATATGCAGAGTACATCATGCGAAATGCCAGGCTGGATGAATCATAAGTTGGAATCAAGATTGCAGGGAGAAACAACAACAACCTCAGATATGCAGATGATATCACTCTAATGGCAGAAAGCAAAGAGGAACTAAAGAGCCTCTTTATTAGGGTGAAAGAGGAGTGAAAAGGCTGGTTTAAAACTCAACATTCAAAATACAGATCATGGCATCCAGTCATTCATGGCAAATAGAAGGGAAAAAAGTGGAAGCAGTAACAGATTTTCTTTCCTGGGCTCCAAAAATCACTGCAGATGGTGACTGCAACCATGAAATTAAAAGACGTCTGCTTCTTGGAAGGAAAGCTATGACAAACCTAGACAGCACATTAAAAAGCAGAGACATCACTTTGCTGACAAAGGTCTGTCTAGTCAAAGCTATGGGTTTTTTTTAGAAGGAAATCAACCCTGAATATTCACTGGAAGGACTTGATGCTGAAGCTCCAATGCTTTGGCCACCTGATGTGAAGAGCCGACTCATTGGTAAAAAAGACCCTGATTCTGGGAAAGATTGAGAGCAGAAGAAGGGGGCAGGAGAGGATGAGATGGTTGGATGGCATCACCAATTCAATGGACATGAGTTTAAAGAAAACTCTGGGAGATAGTGAAGGACAGGAAAGCCTGGCATGCTGCAGTCCATCGGGTCACAAAGAGTCAGACACGAGTTAGACACTGAACAACAACAAAGTACAGGTTTAAAAGAATTCTGGTAAACATGTGCAAGATATGCTTATTTCCAAACCAGACGTAAGTTTCATAAAACAAGGACACTAATTTCCTATTCCTGGATCTTAGAACAGTAGTTGACATAGGTAACAGGTACTTAAACACTGGAAAGTGAAAAGTGTTAGTTGCTCAGTCGTGCCCAACTCTTTGTGACCCCATGGAAAGCAGCCCACCAGGCTTCTCTGTCCATGGGATTTTCCAGGCAAGGATACTGGAGAGGTTTGCCATCTACTTCTCCAAGGGGATCTTCCTGACCCAGGGATCAAACCTGGGTCTCCTGCACTGCAGGCAGATTCTTTACCAACTGAGCCACAGGGAAGCCTTAATAAATATTGGAATGACTAAATAAATGATATCAAAACACTAACCACTGTAGCATTCAGATGGTTAAATTACAAGAAATTTTTATCTCCCAAATTTCTTTCTTCTATTCAAATATTTATTGAATGATAATGTATAATATATTTTATATAATTATGAGCTGGGCATTGTTCTGAGTGTCAGAAACCCAGAAGTACATAAAACAAAGTCCCTGTAACCATAAGGTGTACGTCAAGTGGTTTTACTATTTATGCAATGAAAACATAGTTACTAAAATTAAACTACTATTCAAAATTTTGGTTATAAAAGCTTTTTAAATGCAAACATACACTTTTAATTTATATGTTCACAAATTCAACCCTTCATGTATTAGTTTACAGAAAATTAATTTTCTGGAGTGCTGCACAGTTAAGTAGACAAAATATTAACTTTTGCACAAATCAACTGTCTTCTACTACATGTAAAATAGAAATATTAGAAGCACCTTAAAATTCATAAGCATGAAGTTTATACCTTTGCTTACTCTCCAAGCTACTTATAATAAAAAAATAAATCCTGAGACTTCTCAGGTGGTCCAGTGGTTAAGACCCTGCGCTTCCATGGCAGGGGGCCCAGATCCATCCCTGGTCAGAGAACTAAGATCCCACATGCTGTGCGAAGCAAGGCCAAACATTAAAAAAACAAAACACAAACAACTGCCCCCCCAAACTAACTCCTTAGGACTACATCCACTAGTAAGTACCCTACAGGAGAACAGAGATTTCTGTCTGTTTTGTTCATTATCAGATACTCCCAGAAACTGTAACAGTGCCTACTATGGTGGCTATGTAACACATTGTTGCCGCACGAATATTAAATGAAGTCAAGGTCCTCTCTGATCTAATCCATTACTTCTCGGCTGCTATATCATCCACTATTCTCTAGCATGAGCCTCCCTCAGTCTGAGTGCCCTTTCTTCCATTCAAACCTAAGATAAATCCTACTCATTCCCGCATGCTTGAGTCATTTGTCACCATCTTTAAGCAATCTTCCCTGACTCTCCCTGCATCCCAGCAGAACTGCTTTTTCTTTGGACTCCCAATGTACTTTGCTTGTATCTATCTCTATCTTGCTACTTTGTTGCAGACACTTATTCACCACACTACACTCACTTCCTAGAGAGACAAACTCACTCAACTTGAGGTTCCACACAGTCATTTGCCCAAGTGTGGCCAATGAGATATGAGTGAAAGTGAATATGCCATTTTCATGCTTAAGTATTTATTGACAGTGCTTGACTCTAGCCCTGTGTTCTTCTGTTCTCCTGAATTTAGAATACTGTCCAAAAAGTGAGGGTCATAGGACCAAATGGCCTGGAAATGAAGATCAGGCTTCATGGAGTCAATGTTAAGCCACTAAGATTTTGGTCATGTATGTTACCACAGCATAACCTAGCCTACGTAATACACCCTCATGCAAATAAATAATAATACAAACCCAAAAAGAAAGTGTATAAACTCATATAACAGATTGAA